TTTTTATAGGTCTTTCAAAATAATTGGGGGGGGGGCTGCCTCTCTCTTTTGTTCAAAAGTAGCAGTAGTTGTAGCTGACTACATATTTTTGAAGTAGCTGTAGTTATAGCGAACTACAAAAAGTTTGTAGTCAACCCACCCTTAATTATCACTGATGTCTAATGTCACATTACATTACAAATTACAAATAAATACAGGACTTGCAGGCAACACCTAAACTAACGATGACACAAAGACGGATTGACAGGAGAGGAGAACAGAACTAACGTCCCAATTGACAATTGCCTTGTTTCTGTCCATGATAATCGAAAAAAATTCTCATCTCAAACTCTGATTGTATGTTATAGAGTGAAGAGTAAGACATTCAAGAACTTTGTATTAAAGTGGAGCAATGCCTCCACCACCCCCACCACCACCTGGACCACCTCCACCTCCAAGTGCTGTTGCTACACGTCCACCGCCCAAGACAAAAAGCAGAGGAGCTCTACTAAGTGACATACACAAGGGTGCAAGGCTCAAGAAGACAGTCACCAATGACAGAAGTGGACCAACTATTGATAGTAAGCATCTCTTTTAAATATTTTGTCAGACGTTCATCAATAATGCTGCCAGAAATTTGTATCCTACAAACACTTAGGGAGTCCCCGCCATCTGGGCCATCATACCCAGTGAAATTTTCCCATTTTAGGGTTTGCGAGATGCTACTGTATAAGTCTGTATTTCGTGCATTTTAGACACGTTTTATGATAATCTGGAAGCCCCAGATTTGGTATATTTAATGGCAGAGGTGAAAACCTTAGCCCCCCCTGCTCCAGTTACTCCTAAGTTTTTGAAGAATTGCAAAATTGGTCCCGAAGAAAGGGTCCGAACCCCTCCATTCCCCTGTGGCTATGCTCCTGAATATAAATAACAATATAAATATAATACATTATTATACTCACATATGCAATTGACCAATCACAGGATTTTAATGACTAATGAGGTTATACATGTATGCCTTATTGGTCCTTTTTTTTGTATATCGAACCTTTTCAGGTGTTTTGTAAATTCTGAAATCTTTTTGTTGAAAACATCCAGTAGGTGCATTTCATAGGTTAGAGACATTTTTGTTTAGTTATTAAGAGGCTGTCTCCGTAAAAACCTCCAGGTCAATATGGGGCTCAAAAATAGATTTCTCTCATACTCTAGTATTTTGAAGATCTATCCTTGGGAACAACTAAAATCGATGTCATTTTACTCAAATTTCCTTTA